CTATCCTATCTTATTGTAATATGTATTACGTATTTTATTTAATAAAGAGATTTGCTTTTATTAATTAATACATTAATACATTAATACGTATGTTAAAGTTATAAAATGGTTATTAGTTCAATCGTTCAATCTAATAATATCATGGAACTTATTTTGAATTTGATAATTTATCGTTATCAGACCTGTTAAAGATATTCAATGATAAATACCCATATTTCAATATTCCAATTGAAGACTTAATATCACAATCAAATAATTCTCGAAATAAAGATAAAGTTCCACGTTCACAAAACTCTTTTATATTATTTAGAAGAAATTTATTCTTATTGATAAAAAAATTCAAGAATTTGTACCCAGATTTCAAAACAACTACTCCAATTGAAGCCTTGATATCACAATCGAATAATTCTTTATCGCTATTGAATGAGTTTATTATTAAATCAACTATTCCAATTGAAGTCTTGATATCAACTATTCCAATTGAAGCCTTCATATCACTATCGAATAATTCTCTTAAATTAAATGATTCGCAAGAGGCAACAAAACTGTAGAAATTGATGAAAACAAATATGACAAGATCTAACGAAAATTGCAAAAAAACATCATAGTTTGTATTTTCCAAATTACAGATATCGACCAAACAGAAAGAAAAACACAAATAAAAAGTAAGACGAGCGACAAATGATTTCAATTGTTTTAGCACTATTTCTCCATTGGAGGAAAATTTTATGTTTTATGGTTATTATATCTTAAAACTAATAAAATTTAATGAATTTTATTTTATATATAAACATAAAAATATTTTCTTCTTGTATCATCATCATCAAGATAAAAATCCCAGCGCGTGACATGGCTAACCTTTTCGGAGAAGATAAATTGGTTATAAAATAAAAATTATTACATTTATCTGCCTCGAAATTAATTTTTAGATTTGAATTATGTTCTTTTAGAAGTTGGTTATTTTTTGAACAAATCATTTTTGCATAATGTAATCACGTGATCTAAGGAAGTGAAAATCTGATTGTAATAGCGATAGCATTCTTTAAATTCAGGTATTTCCTAGATGAAAAGAATGATCATTATGTCATAAGAAGAATAAGAAGAAATTCATGTTTCTTGGAAACAAATAACACATGACCAGAGGGGATGAATGAACTTGCCCTCAAATGATTTTACCTGTGACATAAATAATACAAAACAACCTTTATACCTTTTGATATCGATATACATGTAATAATAACAATAATGATAATAATCTTAATGAAATTAATCTTAATGATATTAATAATATTTTTGTTGATGACATTTTTATGAATTCTGAATTATCCTTTCTTTAAAATAGGGTCCATTTTTTTATCAATATATTGGTGTTAACAAATTAACATTTAGATAAAAAGTATTGTGTATATCCCGGGCTGGGTGTTCCAGCGGCATTTTTAACTTATTAAAATTGAATTCTTTTGTCTCTATTTCGCTACTTTCGGCAATTTGATAACCCAGGGGGAGAAAAATGTTATAAATCTTTTGGACAATTTGAGTAATGGGAGACATAAGCCTTGAGTATTGTATTTAGTTTTTCCTGATAATACAAGTATATGATCGAGAGGCTAACAACTGATAAAAACATTTGACAAAGACATATTTGTCTATTACGTGGCTTATGAAAGCGTACTGTTTAAATATGTTCTTTAAAGAACATAGTTTACCAGAGCTGATGCTAGACCAATCACGATATTTTCGAGCAAAAGCTTGTCGCGCTAATCTATGTCGTTTTAACAATAGCGTTTTTGTTCCACCGCTATTAGCATCAGCTCTGTTAAATGCTTTAAAAATAATACGTATTGTATTTGTATATAATAGACATCGCTAAATTAAGCGTGATTCATATAGTCGTTCAAAAGTCGTTGTATTTTCAATTGATGTTTGTATTAATCCCTGAATAAAGTGAACAAGTAAAGCCATTGTTTCTTAATTGGCCACAAATAAATTAGCAATGCGTATACGATCATACCGATACACGTATGTATGTATTGTTATCATAAAAAAGAAAATTCTGTATTATGTACTTTTACGTAATCTATTTCATTGATAAACTTTTGTCCTTTCATGATTACTGTCCGATGTACATGTCACGCTAAAATTGAGGCAAATCCATTTATTATCGTTATAGAGATTATAGAGATGCGTACATTACATATCGATATATGTTAAAATAGGCAAACTTATAGACATGACATGCATGTTGAAAATGTAATTGGTCTTACAACGCAACGCTAAACAGAGTTTGGGTTATTTCTCAAACATCAATTCGAATAATGAGAAATCGGTGTTGGGAGAATGTCATAGTGAGTATCAGCATATTGTATAAGTTTGCCTATCTTGATATTTGTGTTTATGAATTAATGCATACCGATACATGACCACGCAAAGGAAAACCCTATACGAAAGTATTTTAGAAATGTAAAATATATTTTTTCTATATTTTTGTGTTCCCAAACGCTAGAAAAAACTGGATACAAGCCTGAGAATTTATATGATTATCGTTATCAAATGTGTGTAGAATAAACCTGATTCTTTTATAGAAAACAGCCTACGTATACACTTATGTATTTCTTAGTAAAAACGGTAAAAACAAATTTTCGCTCTTATTACAACCTTAATATGGCAAATTAACAATAATCATCATTGTCAAGATTTGCTAGCGATAGTAAGCGAATTGCTAATTAGACTCATTGTCGATATTTGCGATAGTGAGTGTTTACATGTACATGTTTATGAGTTTAACTATTTATTCTTGATCGTGTGAATAAAAAAGCATATAAAACATTTCTAAATACTCTGGTATTATATTTTCATTGTCGTCATTTGTTATGAATTATTAATAGCATCACTACTCTGATATTTAGTGTTTTCATTGTCATTTACGCGTGATCATTGTTTTAGACAGAAACTTTTCTTATAAAAGGAAACTCTCCCAAATCTCCATTCTTCACTTTCGAAGTAACAAACATTCGAAAATCAACAAGTAACTTAAATACAAACATAAAATGACTACATTCAAACAACTTTTCATGGTCACTTTGCTTCTAGCAATCTGTCTCTTCGTTTCGTCTGACGCAATGCCAATGCCAATGCCAATTCCCGGCTCGGCTATTGCCAATGGTGGCCCTGGCGTTGTTGGGGGAAGCGGTAGTATGACTGGTGTTACTGGTACTGGTGGTTCGGCCGTCGCCACCTGTTTCAACTCGGGTCCTGGAGGTTGGGTTTGTTATAACTAACTTAATTCCACAAGAGACAATTTTAACTACTTCTACTCGGGATGGAGAAATATTAATAAGACCCTTGTGTATGAACATGTGAAATGAATAATATAAATATGTTTGAAAGTAAAATTAGTTTTTTTGTGAATAAAATTGTGAAACTATGAATTTTTTAACGACTGCGTTATATCGTGAAAAAATGTAATCCAAGTGCCAGTTTGCCGTCACGTACGTTGATCCTACATGGTGAACAATGTCTTGTAACTAACAATGGGAGAATATTATACGATGAGGCACCGAATTTCTTACTGTTAACTTTTGATGCAAATAGATTACATAGATAGCACATAATAATACTGTATTTTTTTTGTGCATTATGATAATACGTATACGTTTTCTAATTTATTTGTAGGCAATTAAGGACAATGCTTATTTTCTCTCTCTTTATTCCTGGATACAAAATTAAAGCACTTATTACGTAATCGTATTTGGCAGACCTATTCAAAGACATGAACAATACCGATACGTATTATTTATTATCGTTATGTTTAACCAATTATGGGACACGTGATGAAACATGTCCTCTGATGGGACGTGGACAGTTGGACAAATATCCACGTCCACGCCACGTTTAGCATTTACTAATCCCAAGTTTTTGATTGGTTGATGATATTAAAGGGTTAGGAAAGGTTATATGTAAAAATCGTCTTCCCGACATTTTTTGCATCAAGCCTGCCTGATTTACCAATTTGTTTCTTGTTTTGTTGGGTTGATCAATCAGCGATGGAAATTACTTGTATCCAATCAAAACTTGGGGGAATTAGTAATGCATTTGCAAATTAATACTCGCCGATGCTCAGCATACATAGCATGCGATAATTCTGGAGAGTGGCCATGTTGGATATTAGAATCTTCAGATGCTATAGTTATGCCAATATATACAAATCAAAACGAGTTAACGTTAATTGAGGTCGATTCGGATTCGGATTCGGATTATAATAATCTGTGCGCGTGGCAGTAGAAGATTCTCTTCGGAATGGTCTAGAAAAGCAATTGACTTTAAATCAACATTTTTTATTATTAATAAAAATACTGTACAGGAAGAAAAAATCCTACTTGATGCTTGGAAGTTGATTTACCTAACCGAGGGACACTGAAACATGGTGTGTATACTGAATATCGATGTACGTATGACCTATATCGATATCTGTAATACATTTAATTATTGGCTGAATTCTGCATACACCATCAAAACAAAAACAAACAAATGTCTTATTTTGAAGGCTCCCTCACCAACGAAAGAAGCGCCGAATCTCACTAACAACATCACCGTCATGAAATCGAACCCCGGAGAAATTCTCAACACCAGCGAAATGAAATGGCGGCCAAACTCCTATCAACTAGCAACTTACGTACGAATATCAGACAAGAACACAAATATAATAGCATGAGTCAAATTGTCTTTGAGTCCGAAATGCAAAACACAACAGCAAAGAACTTCTGGTAATCAAAAAGACGAACAGTTTATCTCTTAAAACTTCTTTGGTTAAAATCACTCGGAATCCACATATCCTGGTTGATAACTTACCATATGTAATAACTCAAGAAATGAATAATGATGAAATCATTATTCAATGAACAAATGATCAAATCTTTGCGATCTATAATTAAGGTGAATATTTTTGCGTTTATATCAACAAAATCGGGGCAATATTAGTGGAGATATTGGTATTCAAAGTTGGCGCATGAAAAATCATAAAAAATCGCAAAATGACGGACGGATCGTGAGGCAACACCTGTTCACATGCGGGCAATAAAAACGGTCTGTAATCTTAGTTCGTTACTATGGAAATTATTAATTTATTTATGGTGAATTATAAGTATTATACTCTACACAAAATATTTTTCTAATTTCTTTATCTATATTAGCTTTTCTATATGCTCGACATCCAACAAATCAAATCCTTCCATAGCTCATAGAAAGTTTCTACAAGCACACATCTTTTGTCGGGTTGATAAAAATTTATCATTATTTGTTGATTTAGAAGACTGGTGTGCAGTCAGGTAGTGAATTAAGTCAACTCAGATAATCTTATAATTATCTGGATTGACTTAATACACATGATTGGTTTATTATGATAAAACGATGTATGTATGCGCGTGAAAATATAAAATAGAACGGTTAAAAAATACAATACTCACAACCCCTGATTCAATACCTCAACAACTTAATTCAACACAAGCAGACTTATTTATCGTGCTACTTTCCGCGATACGTTTATTCAAGTATATATATATATCGATAACGATAATAAAAATTTTTAGCTCCTATAGAAAAACCATCATTTATAGAGGTTACAAATAGAAGACATGATATATTTAATATCTAATTTAATTGTTTAAAAAATTATTATTATTAATTACCTTTTAAAATATTTTTGTTAATTATTTTCTCAAGATTGTACGTATATGTGCTCCCCAATACATTTTGGTTAGATTCAATTTTTGATCAATCCATCAAAACAAATCCGAAGCGCGAAAAATAACGGACAAAAAATGCTACTGGTATACATGGTTTGAATATGTCGCGGCGGCGGATTGTTTCCATAAAATAATATGGTTGTCTATCTGTATCGGTATATACATATAGCGCAATATATAAATATGCAGTTTCATGATTTTCGGGATTTCGTTTGTCGGGCATATGGGATATCGGGATTATGTTTCTCGTAATGTTAGACGGCTCCCTTGGCGTTTAGCAACCAAACTTTGATATTTCTACGAAAAAAAAAATATATTAATAAATATTTGTGTCATCGTTATCAAGATAAAAATAAGAACGTTCATATTTTTAAAATTCGTTTTTTATTAAAAATATGGCCACGATGATGTGCTTTCAATTATTTTATTCATATATCCTATTCACCACAAGAACCCGGTTTTTCGCCTTATGTACACTTAAGATTTCTATATTGAGGCCCTTTTCAGAGAAGAACGTTCATGGTATTGGGTGTGACCATAGTAAACGTTGTACTTTCAATTCTCCTAGTGGCAGCGTAACTTCAGATATATAATAACTCAACAAATATTTAATAAGATTATACTTACGGTACACGGCGACAACTTATTCCTAGGTCACTAAATTTTTTATGAATTTTTAGCTCAAAGTCCTGTCCACGTTGATAAGTAGTAATAATAACCGTCATATTTAATGATTTAATTATTAAAAGAAAGATTTTATTATTTATTACCTTTTGTATATATGGGGGGTGAGTCAATAGAAACCAAGCAAATTATTATTTTTCAAAAATGAGTTTTTTTATTAAAACAATAGAAATAAACATACTGATCATTTTTTTAATTAATTATGAATTCCAATTTACATAATAAAATTTTGAGATATAGCATTTCAAAGTTTTTTTTTACATATTAATCATATAAAATGCGGGAGATAAAATTATGATTATCGCAAAATTAAGATTTTATAATTTGCTTGGTTTCTATGGTCTGATCGACATCCAGACCAATTTTGGAAATTAAATATTAGCGTGTTAATCTAGATATATACACTGTAATAATGATTTATTATTGATTTTCGCATTTTGACTTATTAGGATGACATCCTGAGCCACAACCTACACCTGACCTTTTACAAGAGAACCTATAATTTTTGCATTCTAACTTGCAATTACACACTGTAC